GGGGGGGGGGGCTTGGACAAGCAGGCAGGATGGAGAGCGCTTTTGGGCAAAGCATGGCATGAATTGACTCCGATACGCTTGCCCGCCATGGAAAATCTTGCACGATGATGTTATGACGTGGGTGAGGAAGGTGAGGGCGTCCATTCATGGATTCTAAGACTTCCTTATAGATATCAAGGACACATTCAGGGTGGCCAAGGTAGTTGACGGTGGATGTACTTTGGCAAAATCAAATCAGGACCAGAATCCAGGCACGAGGAGAGTCTAACTAATTTCAAAGGACAATGAAGCCGAGAGCTGGGTTCACACATTGCGAATTCCCCAATTCTCCTCCGATTTAAAGTGCTGATGATCTCTGGAACAGATGTGGAAGAAAAGAGACATGGATACGAAACCACATGGCACCAGCAACGACTGAGCATTGAGCTAGCATCTCCCAATCCCAAGCCATACAAATGTACATAATGTATATCCTTACTTCCAGTCTACCTTTCCTTATCCTTCGAGGAACGAATTGACCAAGCGCTATGCTTGCTATCAGTCAGTGCCTATCGCAAGACCCAGTCACCTCCATCGAATGATCAAGCATGCACGCCAACAAAACCTCCGTAGACTCCATTTTTCCTTCCGACCGGATACCGTCGTATGCAGATTTTACTTCGGCTCAAGTTCCAGCCTTTGTCCGTCTCGTGACTCTCATATTTCCATTCGGCGGGATCTTCTTCAGCGGCAAGGCTTTCTTCTTGGCCTGGGTCGGCTTCCCAACGGTGGTATTGCTCATAGTGACTGACTTGGCGTCGCCACTGACTCTAGTCGTGCTGCGGGTCTTGCTGGAGGAGCCATTGAGCTGCGGGCGAAGTGGTGTTGGGGAGACGTCTCGAGATGAGTTGGCGTCATCTTCGTCCGTGCCGTCATTCATACCATCATCGACGTCCTTGCTTTCATCGTTCTCTTTTTCGCTATCATCATTATGACCATTCGTCTGCGCCTCTGGCTCACCTTCTTCGTCAACGGCTTTACCAGCACCCTCCTCTTTGCCCTCGCTCTCTTCTTCTGCCTCCTTCGCCCTCGCCTTTTCAGCCTTTTCCTCGGAAAGCTTCTCCCACCTCTCCATCTCTTTGTCATCGTCCTCGCTATCGCGTTCTGCGTAATTGGTAGCTTGAGCACCGCTCTTCCTTGAGCTCTTCCTCGCCGGCTGTTCACTACTCGGCACATCATCATCGCTTTTTCTCTTCTTGTTGGGCCTCGGCGTCTTTGCTTTCGACGTGCCACTTTTCGAGGCCTTTCTGACAGGCAACGCTGTCTTTTTCGCCCTCTTGGCTCGCTTGCTCTCGTCCTCCTCCTCGCTCTCATCAGCGGCCGCTTCCTTCGTTTCACTCTTGCGCTTCTTCTCGCTATGTTTCAATGATGTGCTAGACTTGTTGGGCTTCAATGTAGCTTTTATGATCCTCTCCAAGTCCTCGGCGACCTCCTCAGGTAAGTAATTCCTGTCAGCAATTTGTTGCGCGGCATCATGGTTTGGTAAAGCTGCAAACAGGCCAAGAGGCAACCTCAACTTCCCGGGCCATGTCTGCAGGATGTTGGCGTTCGCCGAATGACCTTTCTGATGCGATAAGAAATCTGCATAGTGGCGTATAGTGGCTTGAGCTAGATCCGACAGCACATAAAGGCGTTCGCTCGCTTCAGGTGTCCCTGTTACAGCATCTTGGGTTTGCTTGACCCGCTGAGCAACATGAAAGATTAAACTGAGGTTATCTTCGTTTCCGACAGCGGTCAAGTAGAAAATGATATATTGCGCAAAGTCCACAAATTCGCTGTCAAAGGTCTCGGATCCCTTTTCTGGGAAGTCTGGGTGGTGGGCCAGTAGTGAAAGAAGGCGCGCAAAGAGCAGTTCCATTATGTTCTGATGTCCGGTCTTGGACAGAGATTGAGCTTGTTGTTTCCTGGCAAGCGCCTGACCGCGGGATTTAAGCCAAGCAATCGTATCATTTTTGAGCGACCTCTCCGGCTCAAACGCAGTCAAGAAGAGTACAGTGTACCAGCGGTAATTTAATCGCTCGAGGGCCAGGTATTTCTTCAGCTGCGTAATGAAACCGGCTCGAACTCCTGGCAAACGGTCTTGTGCCACGAGGCCAACAGCATTGAACATATGCGGTGTGACAAGATCCTCACAAGCACGTCCTTTGCTGCAAAGTTTCAGGAGGAAGCGCGACGCTGTTAACCTGAGGTAAGACTTTTGAGATGCGGGTGTGTCTTTGAGATCGCTCAGCTCCCCCTCCTGTTCGATGAGGCGGGTGAGCATTTCGTAGATCGGAGTTGCGGATTCCATGAAGGAGCTTTCATCATCGAGATGCGAGCGAAGAAAGTTGACTAGACATTTAAGTGCCAATTCTTTGGCTCGGGTTTCTTCGTCCTGAGAGGTAGACCAGGTGTAAGAATCCAGATCTAGAGCCGGTTGTCGATTGTGCAAGAGTGTCTCTTGCATCGTGATTCGGATGATGGTATCAGACTCAGCGTCCGCAGCTTTAGGCGCGAGCAGGTTGATCTGAGAGATGGTGGCCAGTCGTGCCAGGAAATGTGGTGATGAATGTGTGCAACTAGTCGTAGCCTTCTGAATCAATTCTTTTGCATACATCTCTTTCTTCTCGGCCCCTGCCATAATGATAGAAACGGCATGTTTCGCAGCTCTGGGACTTCGCGAGAAAAGTGCGTAATTCGTCATTGCAACCATGAACTTGCGATCCCGCGGTACTTCGGCAGGAAATCTGCGGGCAAACTCAGCACATGCTTTCAGCATGTCCGCAGCTGAGGGTTCTTCTGGGTTTGAGTCATCCGGTGCAGTAGATTCAAGGTCTTTGCAAAGCTCCTGCACATGTGTCCTCAGAACTTCAGGTGTGCGCGTTGAAATTTCCTTGAGCATCTCATGAGCGGCGTCAGCCAACCCTTTTTCGTCGCTTCTAGATATTCTCATAATGCCGGGGACGTGACTTCGGTTGTATATCAGGAGACTGCAACGGTAGAGGAGAGGGGTCATAGTATCGAGTGACGGACTATTCGTGCCCCGAGTCTGGATTCTTTTGGTAAGCTCCTTGATAGCTTTGACGACAGTTCTATAATCGCTTTCGTGGTTCAAACAAAATCGAATGAGCTGATAGTTCCTTCGATCATGCATTTTAGCAAATTTTCGCAGATCAGCAGCAACGCGCGCTGGTTCAGGCAGAGTTTTGGATATCGCTTCAATCCATTTGCTTAGCTCCTTTTGCACTTCAGCCTCGTTCTTCTCGAAAACACCACCGTTGTAATTTTCGCAAGCTTTCAGGTACTGTACCATGACACGTGAGAGCTGTGTCTGTCTATTTTGCATACCGAAGAAGACCCTCTTTGCCCTATCATCAAGTCCATTAAGTATGGTTAGGATACGGCGAACACGAATCAAGTCGACATCAGCGCCGTCCTCTTCTGTAAGTGGGTCCAACTTTCCCTTCGAAGCTTGCTTTTGACTGTCAGACTTCGAGGATTTCCCTTTGATCGGGGGATAGTTGAGTGGTAGCAGGTATTCGAATAGTATATGATCAAGCAAAACATGCACCTCTGGCTCATTCACGTAATAAGTGTCTAGAAGCTTGCTTGGTACATCTCCCAGCATAGCGGTAACCTCTTCACTGCCGTTTTCGATCTCGCCGGCAGCCACAGCCCAAATTCGACCAAGAACCTGCATTGCTTCTTCTCTTACGGAAGGTTTTCTATCGCGTACTCGATCTGACAGTGTGGCCAATACTGAACCTGGACTTGATACTGAGCCATGTGTGGCGAGCTTGTCGATCACGTCCATAAACCCGAAAACACCGATAACTTTGATGGCTGCTAGTCTGACCTTCTCATCCGCGTCTGCGAGCAGCTGTGCCAGTCCGTCCTTCAGTTTCCGCTCCTCCCCTTCCGCAAAGCCAATGCCACCAGCAGAGGTCAGCAAGATGCGGCCTGCACTTGTAGCCCATGCAGCTCGAACAGACGGAGATCTGTCTAGCTTTCGGCTCAGAAAACTCTCGTAAGCACTAGCATGGACTTGTGCGAATGGTTTAGGGGATATCGGAGCTTGAAGCAAATTTATCTGGAGAGTACTCGGCGTCGGGTTGGAACGGTCCACTGATGGATATGCCGCAGGATCAATGTGGACGGGTGGAGGACAACCTGCAACACCTATCCCAGCAGCAACGTCCCCTAAAGTTTCTGTAGCAACCAGTCGCAGCGATGCGGATTCGGCGGATAATTCTGCTTCGACCTGTGGAATGACATGCTGCAGAACATCTGGGCAAGCCCTCCACAATTCTCTGATCAGTCGATGTGCCTTGCTAAGCTCTTTGAGATCCTTCCCATCGTCGTCAGCGTCGCTAATACTGCCGCGACTGCCATGTCCTTTTCCTACATGACTGTTTGTCTGGGCGGGTTCAGATGCATCCACAATTATGTTGTTGAAGTATTGACTTATGAAAGTCGTCATCTTCTCTGGCACGGAGCCACAGATTGCTTTGGCCATTCCGTAGGCGCGTGGGTATGTTTTCTGAAGAAGGTTGCCCTGCGAGCCATCCGGTACTCCTGAATTCTTCTTCCTTGCTGCATCTTGCTCGTTCGTCCTCGGATCGACTCTCATGAACTGCGCGATGATGACATCTGTGACCTCGGGTGAAATGCTTGAGCATTCATCAATCACTTGTACCAGTATCTGTGTGAGGTGACCTTCAACACCTTTGCTCACCTCTTCTCCCGTAGAAGCTTTAGCCGATCCAGAGACAATATCGAAGCAAGTGGTAAAGAGAGAGAGGATGAGCTGCTCAGGCCGCTCGAGGTCTGTAATTAGCGCAATACTCTGCACCTCCGAGAGTGAGCTGAGCACATAGACATGTTGTGCATTGTAGGCATTGGATGGATCTGCAAGCTGCGGTATGATGAAATTCACGATCGTAGTGAAGATATCCTAGGTATTTTAGCTAAACGTTCATCTCAAGTCACATCATTAGATCCAGGCTCTTACTTTCAATTGCGCACTTCGAAACGGCGCGTGAGGAACACAAATGCGCAGCAAGTCCACCACACAGCATGCAGTCCATGCTCTGACGCCTCGATCCTTATGCGCCAACAAGTTCGGGCTCGCAAGTTCTTGTGCGACTTTGTAGACACTTTTGGGATCAACTTCGCCTTCAGGCTCCAGGCTTTCGAGTTCTTTCGCAAGCTTTTGGAGCCGCGAGAGGAGTTCAGCGACAGGTATGGCTTTTCCAGCTTTCCAGCTAAGAGGTTCGTTGAAGCGCAACAACGATTGTGGTTGTGCTTCTCCATGTCCTTGCTCTGCGGCAGTGGATGCAGATTCTCGCCGCCGCGTTCCTGGCATGTCAGGCGACGTTGATGATACCGCCGTCACTCATAGAGCTCCGTATACAGATGACAACGTGCAGCTTAATAGGGTGGCTTTGTTGTGTTGCTGACAGTCTGGTGTGAATAGCGCCCCGCATCTCGCGTGACATTTCAAATTATGTATGTAGACGCGTCGAGCTGGTGTCGAAGCCAAGAAATAATCAATTCGCATGCCAAGTTACTCATGTCGCCGAAAGGTCTCCGCCAACCTAATTTAGAATTTCATAACTCACGGCTGTCAAGGCTCGAGGCAGTTTGTTAGAAAGGTCAACGATAATGAAATGCTTGCCGACACTAACGGAGACTTCTCAACAGCGCCTCCACCGGAGTAGCAAGAAGAGGCCCTCTGAAAGCTATGTCTAGAAATACCATTAACGTGTGCTTAGTTCAGGCCTCTTCATACTACATCTAGCATGCATAGAAATATGTAGTTAAGACATCTGAATTCTGATGATCCTCTGTCATTTTGGACGCCTCTTGTAAAATTATGGCCATACGGAGTACGACGGTCAGATTATGCTAGGTTAATTTGCTAGGGACTGATAACGCGTCATTGTTGGAGCCCTTCTTCACATAAGTGACATATCACTGCGGTTTTTGATATCCGGCTATAGCTATACCATCACCTGCGAGAAACCCTCGAGTCTGTTAGTTACAGATCTGTGAATGAATCATCATTGCTGTCATTTTTCGATGTGCGCAACAACAAATAGTTACGACCCAGTCCCCTCAGCCTAAATAGTGAGGATGGTCTGCTCCAAATGTCAAAAAGTCCTCAAGAAGACCGAGCTCGCCACCCCAGGAGTCAAGCGCAAAAATGATATATACCTAGGCTCTCCTACAGCTGAGAAAAGCAGCGCTCCTTCCAATGGAGTCAGCAAGGTCAATTTCACCAAGGACAGATCTCTACTCTGACAGGCATAGCTGACCTCGATTTGCCCCCAATAGAACAAGCTTCTAAGCAAAGGAGCAAAGAACCCCTACGCTGCATACTCGGGCTCATGTGAAACTTGCAAGACAAAGACGGAAAGAGGGAGGAAATACTGTCAGCGCTGTGCTTACAAGAAAAATGGTACGGGAATCACTTGCAGGTTGCCTGCAAAGATCAATATGCATAGTGCTGATGAGTTTTGGTGTGGTAGCTTGTGCCATGTGCGGTAAAAGTGTCGGCTCGCAAGATGGAAAAGGGGACGAACCGGTGGTGCAGGGCCAGAAGTTCTCGGCCAAGTGAAATGCTGGACCAAAGTAGAGGAAAACCTCTCGACGGGAGCATGGGGCAAAGTATGCCTTCGTCCATCCTCTAACTTCCAGGGCTTTGCAGAGATGCGACGATCTCAGCCGGGAATCATCTGTCATAAAGCGTTTTGGCAGCGCCAGCAATCAGTTCGTTATGGCCGCTTGCATCGGACGATGAACAATCTACAGCGTGACATGGATTCTTCATTACGGGTTGATTCGAGAAACGACCGGAGAACAAAGGTGCGAACGAGCGGAGAGGCCTTTAATCAAGGCACATGGTGAAACTGCCCTAAATAATATCGGGGAAGCTGGCAATCATGCGCGGCTCGAAGCTATCGCTTAAGCGCGAGGTAGAAGACCGAGAGAGAAAAGGAGCGAAAACAGGCTATGTAGGTCTTGAAAGTGCTGCGATTGTAGTTGTTCTGGCAATCGACCGTACTCTTTGTTTACAGATATTAGATGCTATTTCTTGCCCTTTTTCTTATTCTTCTTATTGCCTCCACTTCCAACCCCTGGCGGCCGTGTAGGTGGGCCTAGGTCCTTGATACCGACATCATCTGCGACAATGCCACCTTGTGTTCTGTCGGCATCCTTCTTCCTTCCCTTTTTTCCTTTTGGTCGGTATGTGCTCCTATCTCTTAATGGCAGCCATCTTTCCGGATCTGGAACCTTGGCGGAATCATGGTCCTTTGGTAAACGTGATTTGCGTATCCTCTTCGGCCTGTTCAAGGCCTGATCTGGTGCACCTCGTTTGCGAGAAGCAGTCTTCTGGGCGATGGCAAGAGCATTTGATGGTTGTGGTATTCCGGCGTTCTCAAGGCTGTCCACGTCGATGCCCTGGATAAGCTGATGCACTGGAGTCAACTGGGCCACTTCGTTCTTGACTTTGGAGGAGTCTTTGCTGGCATGTGCAGCCACATATCCTGCTGCTGCTAACCTATCCTGCCGATTCTTCTCGTGTAGTATCGTGAAGCTCTCAGCAGCGAGGGAAGTATCCTCTGGGTCTAGAGATTCTAGAAGAGTAGCACCTGCTGCTTGTAACAGTAGTTGTGGAGGATCTGACGTCCGTCGCCAGTAAGATGCAGCCTGCGCAAGCTCCCGCCTCGCGTGCGACTGTCGACCTTGTGATTTGTACAGAGCCACTGCAACGGTGACCAAGCCGGGGCTGAAGCGAAGTTCTTGTTTTGTCTCGAAAGGAGATTGCTCAAGACGTGTAAAGAACGATTCGAGGTGGTTAATTGCTGAGGTTGGGTTGTGTATTGAAACGTAAATTTGTATGATAGTTAGAAGAAGACCAATGTTATAAGGACTTCGTTCAAGTTCTGGTAGAAGATGCTTTAATGCAGACTTGCCATCTTCGCCTCTTGCATGAGCGGCTGCATTCAATACTCCCAAAGATGTCAATTCTGCGGTCGTAGAAGGTAATTGTTGAGACTTGAGAACCTTGGACGTTGATCTTGCCACACCATCAAACTTTAGAGCTTGTAAGTCTACTGTTTTAAGGTTTGCGTTTAGTATACGTTGCTGGAATCGGAACGGCTTATCGTCATCACTAAATCGTGCGCCATTATCAAGCATTTTGTGGGCAAGGTATGGATTTGGTGATTCTTCTGATCCGACAAGGAGATTATGCTGAGCAATCTGCTTCGTAGCTTTATCTGCAACACTAACACAAGGGTTAGTAGCCGCCGTAACGAGCAGAGACACAGTCCTCACTCTGCAGCCTTGAACTCCGATGCGATAGCTTTTGCCTCTTCCGATTTGCCCAAGCGCTCTAGTACGTACAGCAGCTGCACACATATCGGTAGTAGTTCAGCTGCCTTCTCTTCGTCTGGAAGGTCATCCGAATACTTGCAAAGCTCTGGTAAATATATCAGTAGCGATTCATTGTTGTAGCTTGCCCACACACCTTTTGCTCTTTTCAGAAGGACTTCAGCCTGTCGCAGCTCGCCCCTAGCAATGCTACCACATGCTGCATTGTATGCAGTCTCAAAAGCCTCTAGGTCTTCTCTCCCAGGCTTACGCCGTTCGGCAAGTGTACGCTTGCCGGACCAGATCAATTGCGCTTCGACTGCTCCTCGATTAATGCGTAGATCGCTTTGTTCTGTGGTAGGGTCTGATGATTGAAGATCCCTGTATACGTCGGCTGTCGCCTGGAAATTCTCTGATCGGTAAAGCTTTAGTCCCGTATCGGTCAGTTATCTTTGACATACTGCGGAGTGGCTAAACCAACTGCTTGGGCCTCAACGTGCCTCGCAGCTCGCCCATCCTTGAGCCTAGCTGCTACGTCTGCAGCTTCCTTAGACTTTCCATCCTTGTAGAGGCTATATGCATATTCCAATGGTGCCGTCTCCTTAAGATTCTTCCCACCGCTCTCGAAGACATGCAACGCTTCCTCATAACGATCGAGCTTCAACAATGCAACAGCCTTCACGTGCTGGGCGGCTACGTCCGTTTTCGATATTTTCAAGGCTGCATTGCATGCTTTCAATATTTCTTCGTGATCATCAAGGCTGGACTTCTGAAGTAGTGCCGAAATTGATTGTGCGTTTGCAGCCGCCATGTAGGTCGAGCTTCCAGAAATACAGTAGGAGGCGAAAATAAAGCCACAGGGAAAAGGTAAACTCATATACCAGGCTTCATGCTTCACGGCCTGATCCCACGTCTGACGAAGCCTGACCTGATCGTGTGCTGTCTGTACTCGTTGCAAAACCGAAACGGTTGATACGATCGCCGTTTCTCCAACTTTCACGACTTACTCCGCAGGAAAAGCCCGGCCAGTTTTGGAAAGCTTACGTAACCACTTGTCTTGTCAAGCTTGCCCAGGAAAGTGAATGTCATATACAATACCTCTGAATCGGTGATATTCAGGGGCATCTTTGCAGTTCCCAGTTAAATATAGCTAACTTTCACACCCATACCAATCGTGTTCCTAACCTTGTCCCATCCATTACCTAGTATGCTTTGGGCCCGGTCACGTATATCCCTTCTGCTTAACGCCATGATTATCGCAAACACTGATAAAAGCATCCTGAATAACATTGTTGGATTTGATCGTACCGAATTGGTCATATTTCGGACCAGGTTTTGCAAGACTTGAAAGAGATTTCTGAGCGGTTGACCATAAGTTGGAGGTCTTTTCTGGGGAGATTTGCGCATGTTGCGGCTCTTTGCTGCCTCGGCTGGAGACTGGTGTGATGCTCCTGTCACCGCGGCGGAAGCAGCAGCGTTGGACAAAGAGGCTGGTCTCTGTGTTTTGGGTGCAGGAATAGCATTGCCATTTGGTGGTTCCTTCTCTATTCCATAGTCGATCTCGCTGCTTGTTCGTTTGTGGACTGGGCCATTTTCGCCTGATGTGCGCCTTTGAACAGCATTGTTTTCTGAGTGAGGCCTGTTGCTGTTCTCCGAACGGTCCTGTAAATGTGCATCCTCCTGCTGGCGGGGTGTTGTTTCTTCCTGCATGTCATGGTCTTTCGCGTCCTGTAACTCCTGCAAAGATAGGAGAAACGCCTCTCGTCGCTCCTCATCGAGAACATCACTCATGCTGATGAAGGACCTGGCGTATTCCCATTCCTCGTTTCGGGGAAGAACATGTAATGTGAATAGCTCTAGGATCTTGAGGCGAGATGCAAGGTCTTTTGGTGTTCCCGCACCGTTAGATCGTGATTGTAGATGGTGGGAGTTTTCGTGGTCGAGGTGGTGTGTGATGCCAAGGTTAAGATCAAGGTGGGAAGAGAAAGCTAGGTAAGTTTCCAGTCGAGATTGCGTCAACGTTTGCGAAGGTGCTTGTCCAAGCAACAGAGTAGCACTATTCAGTCAGCATAGGGAAGCATATATTCAGCGAGCAAAGCGTACAGATTATAGACAACCTCCGCATCCACAGAGCCCTCCCTGCCTGCGTAGCCATCGCGGACCACAGTTTCCCAGATATCGCCACTCCGGACGCAATTGACTATTTCCTTATATCTATTTTGGCCGAAGGATCTTTTGCCTTCATCATAACCCAGATCGACGATCGAGTTAAGGAGCGTAATGTAAAGACTCCAGACTTTAATACGCTGGGTTGTGGTAGCCATAGCTATCGCCGGTTTCGAGTCTGAGTCTTCATCACTATCCTTAAAACCATTCGCCTGTTGAGCTGGAGTTATGATCGGCTCGAGTACCGAAAATGCCTCAGGAAATCTGCGTGTCACGAACAACTGTGAAGCGTGCTTGTACGCTTTCGAGATCTCTGGGGATGGTTTTCTGTCGGGCGGTATTGGAAAGGGAGATGATGATAGCTGCTGGGAGTTTGCTAGAGAGCTATTCCCTGTCGTCATAGTCACCGTAGATGAACCTGACGAGCTGTTCATCATTAAGCTGTTGCTCTGCCGAAGACGCCTCGTGGCCTTGAGATACGCTGTAACTAGAGATGAGTTCTGGAGCTCTTGCGAGGAGCTGGCTTGAACCTCGGCTTGGCAGCTCGCAACAGCGCGAGTTCGGCTTTTTCAATTATGCGAAACTGTACTTACAGTGTCTTGCCGGATCCTGCTCTCACAATTTAGACAGAATGGTCTGATGAGGATGCTCTTTGGGACTGGGGGTAGTTGTTCTATGCTGTTTGCTGAAAGCCGATCCGTTACAGTACGCTTGCACGAAATCGAGCTCCATGACAGCTCGAGGAAGCAGTAACAAGCACGTTAAGATATCATTTTCAGAGCATTGATCGTACATGCAAGATAAGCCTGATTGCGTGCTATTTCTTTAGTTGACTGACGACCAACCGACTATCTGTCTTCTTCGCGCATGTTTATCAAGCATTCAACACTTCCCGTTCAGACACATCCATCTCACCCGTAGTCCTTTCGACCCTGGATATACATAATGGACATTCCCAGCCGACAATTCTCCAGCGAACTGCTCAAGATCTTACAGCTAATTGCTGATTCACACTTTGTTGCTCTGGATCTCGAATTCTCTGGCATCTCCAGCCGTCGAACTCGTGCCGGGAAGAGTAGACTATCGTTACAGCAAGTGTACGAAGATGTCAGAGAAGCCGCAAAACAGTATCAGGTCTTGCAGGTCGGGCTGACGGTTGTGGAAGAGGACGCTCGAAAAGGTACTTAATATGGATCCGTTACTGACGTTGAGGTCCGACGCAAAGACTTCCACTAGTCGATCAAAAGCGCTATAGCTTCAATGTTCTGAAGCTGTAAAGAATCTGCGCTGATAAGAGTAGGTGTTTATGTGCTACGGCCTTATAATTTCTTCATCAATCCTATTCCCGCGAAGGAAGAATACAACCGGATTGAGCGAATCTGGTCATATCAGAGTGGCGGTAAGTCGTCAGTATCTGCTTTAGCTTCGTTTTCTCTGCTTATGTGCCGTTCGTTAGCGGTTAGTTTTCTGTTAAAGAACAAGTTCCGATTCGACCTGCCTTTCTCAGAGGGCATTATGTATCTTTCACGGAAGGAGGAAAGGCAGATCAGAGCATCATGGGCGGTACGAGATGCTGAAAGGGAAGCACTTGAGGATATGACATTGAAAGCCGACGACAAGCCCCTGGTCGATCATATCCACCTTTCAGTGCAGAAATGGCTATCACAACCTCTTGTGGATCGAGAGGACTACTTGAACATCCCACACACCACTGAAGAGAAGCCCCGAATCAAACATATACCAGCGGTCCTCAATCGGTACCAAGTCAGGGTGACCCATCAGGTCATTCGAAAAGACTATGCACATTTGAAGACGCTTGGTAGAGATGGTTTCGTGAGAATCACATTACGAAATGAGAAAGAAGACGCGGAACAGAAGCTGCGTCAGGAACGATACCGTGAGCAGGATGTTGTCCAAGCTATTGAATTCAGGTGGATAATCGAAGCTTTATGTGGGGGCGACATCTCTAAAATTCCGGAACGATGCTTTCTCGCTAATATCTTGAATGACAAGAACCCTAGCAACGATGATGCATCTCGGAAACAGTACATCGAAGAGCTACAGCGCAAGTTAAGCACACGCCGGCGAGTGCTTTTCGGACACAATTGCTTTATTGACTTGGTATACCTATATGCCTGCTTCATTGGCGATCTGCCTGAAAAAATCGAGGATTTTCAGGAGCTCATTCATGGATTCTTTCCTGCCGTGGTAGACACAAAATACCTCGCATCTTTGGTGAAAGAGCTACGTTTCAATTCTAACCTCGAAGCACTCGAAAAAGAGATGCGAACCGAGGAAGCCCCAGCTATCAACGTACCTGTTGCTTTTGACCGGTATGTGTGGGGTGAACACTTTCACGAAGCTGGGTTCGATAGCTTCATGACGGCTAAAATAGCTATCAAGCTATCAGCTAAGCTTGAGAAAGAAGGAAAACTTCGCGAAGCAGCAAAGCCTCAGAAGATTATCAAAGCAGGAGAGACAATATTGATAGATTCGGCTGTCGATATAGAGGAGGAACAAATGGAAGATTATGTCACAGCTCCAGAATCTGCAGCTGACACTGATTCCATCGTGAACGAGCTAGAGTCCAAGCTGGCAGTAGTCTTCTCAAGCCCTGCAAAGAAGACTTTTGAAATGTCCCAACCATTCGATGCGCGCAAATTGCCTGATGGGCGCGGATTGCCAGACACATATAGACAGACACAACCAGAAGTTCCCTCTAAAGGAGAGGGTATCAAACCGACAGGCCAAATGAGAGACGAACCGCAGCCCGAACCTTCGCAGCATTCAAACAGTAGCTTAACACCTCAGGATGATAAATTGACACTGGACACTTCATCAACTAGTACTCCTGTTGTGGCGGTCAAGGAGAAAGTGGTGGGCTGGCGAAGCCCCGTGGAAGTGAAACGCATTAAGAATGGGCTTGCGCACAATAGCATGTTGGATGTCCTGGATACACCAGTTGGCCCAAATACCGAGGATACTTCATTCCCCGAGCATGACACCATTACAAAAATCATTCCTCGAGAAGATGAGAACGCCAAGCATCCAGAAACGGATTTGCTTGTTTGGAGCGACAGAGACGAAGACGACGACGACGAAGAAGATCATGAAGAAGAAGCAGAAGGAGAAAATGCCAATGCAGCCGGCGAAGCAATTCCGATTGAGGCTGAGGAGTCAGAGAAGCCAATGACAGCGCAAGAGCTAGAAGACCGAATTAACAAAATGTCAGCGAAAGGTGACATGATGCCTCGATGGGAGAGCGAAAGTGGTATCTGGAAGGTCATTGGGAACAAGCTGATCGTCAATGCTTGCGAGGAAGGTGTCTGCCTCCTATAAATTCATGCATTTCGGGGCACTTCATCCGATCCTGTTCAAGCAGCACAAGTACAACGGGCGAAACCACATAGCATGAGACAATTTGGATAGCGGGCGGGTCACGGTCGCTGTAATAGTACATTGCCCGAGCCTCGAGGAGCATTTTGATGCATACATGTGTAAAGTTCTATTCGTACAGACGTGAAGCCGCACAAGGACATCAGCTTGTGGTCTAGCTCAAGGCAGCATCTCTCCTTCAATCCTCACATTGACCTTTTGCAACCTCTCAATGAATTTGTCACCAAGACAAGCAGGCGTCAACAAACCGCCACCGAGCGTTTTGACCAGGTCTTCGTTTTCCAACAACACCATCGCCCCCTCGGCCAAGAGTAATCCCGTAAAATAATAAATTCCTCCCTCATATCGAAACTTTGCCGTCGCCCTCTTCTCCTTGCCACCTGTTGTATCTTCTGCCACGGCAATTGCCCTAAACTCGAGCATATCCTTGCTGGTAGCCTCGGCGCTTGGTCCTTGCCCTGGCTGGTAGACGAACCTACGGATGAGTGATCTAAAGGGTTTGATTGCAGCGAGAAACGTGCCGAATATTACGGCGAAGTGGACGAATATGCCAAATACATAGTTCGAAACGCGCCAGTACTCATTGAACCGGAAGTTTTTGCCATAAAGTTGTGGCATTAGTCCAGAAGAGCGGTGGACGATGGCCACGTTTGGAGCTGCAGTGATGGAAGTGGTCAAGATACCAAGACCAGGATACGAGAATGGACCTAGTAGGCGAGAAAAGAGCGAACGTGAAGAAGGACGTTTTGATGTTGGAGCTGAAGATAGTGAAAACGGCTTGGTCGCCGTTCGGACCTCCGAGAGTGAGTACTGATCCATGATGCTGAGAGCAGTGGCCAGAGAGCCTCCTGATAGTCCAGCACCTTTCATTTCGTGTACAGAGCAGATGACGTCTCGAACGCCGCAATTGAGGGAGTCTCGAATAGTGGATACGGCTGTGTAGGCTACCAGATCAGACGGAGCTGACTCTAAACCAATTTCTGGGATCAGAATGGCCCCGGTGGCTTTTGCTTTGTCGTGGTATTTCTGTAGCATCTCTCGCACCCAGGGTGTCTCGCCAGTGACATCGAGGTAGTGAGTGCCATTTTCAGCACAAGCAGCAACGACTGGGGTTGAGTAAAGGTGGTAGGGGCCTATGCAGTTCAACACAACGCGGGTCTTCTTTGCAAGGTCGTTAAGCTCCTGCTGGTTGAGGTTGACCGGAAGAATATCAGGTTGGCTCCTGTCAGGATTGATCTTCTTCAACCCAGTCACAATGTCCTGGAGTTTGCTGGACGAACGTCCCGCCACGGCCCATTTGAGGTTCGTGGGCAGGTGTTTTGTAATATGCTCGGCGCAAAGCTTGCCGGTGTAGCCTGTAGCTCCCAGAAGTACCAAGCTGTATGCTCGAGAAGATGACATTTGAAATGCAACGATCACTTCAGCGGAGAAACAAGACAAAAGATGGGAAGGCGAGTGATAGAGTAGGAGAGACTGCAAAGAAATGAAAAACTTGCAGACGGATAGCACAAGTGGAGAACAACAGGAGAGACCACTGCTAACTATGTCATGTCCAAAGTCTTCTCCGTGGGATTTTGTCACTTTTGAGAATGTTGTCGACTGACCTCATTCTGAGATAGTTACGGAGTAGTGCATTTATCTACGTAGTAAGTGCTAAAACTTGAAAGGCTAGCCTGACGAGTCTCGGAGACTCAGATTCTCCGAGCCCTCTTCTGCCAAGCCATTCCGTTAGCGCACCTTGAGAGCACAATTCCAATCTCAACGGAAATTCGATTTACACTGCCCGAATACTGTTACTACCTGCAAACACTGCTGCTCGCATTGAAAATGACGAAGCGCACGAAGAGTAAGTCACTAGATGCTGACAGGTGTTACCAATGCACTCTGGCTGACTTGGCTGCACAGAGGTCGGTGTGACTGGGAAATATGGCACAAGGTAGGCGGACAGGCAATCATTGCTTCCTCGCTACATCGCAATCCGTCAAGGTCGAGATAAGCGCCAGATAAGATACTGAGACATGTACTACAGATATGGTGCCTCTCTCCGAAAGCAAGTTAAGAAGATGGAGATCACGCAGCATGCTCGATACGTCTGTACCTTTTGCGGCAAGAACACAGTTAAGCGGCATTCGGTCGGTATTTGGACCTGCAAAGCATGCAAGAAGACAGTAGCTGGTGGTGCATGGACAGTTTCGTAAGTGGAGCTGCAGTCTTGCATCTCAATGTCCCTTAGGAACCGGACAGCGGAGACTGATTTGCGTTGGATCTAGTACACCAGCCGCAGCAGCCACAAGATCAACCATTCGACGTTTGAGAGAAATTGCGGAGGTTTGAAAGACCGCATGGACATGGAGTTCTGAAATCACGGTTTCGAATGATGCAAGTTTGCTATTTTTCCTACTCGAACAATCGCAGACGTCAATCGATTTACGTCGTCGAAACCTGCTACCGTTCGAAGAGCGCGATCCATAGGAATCAAATTCTAGTACAAAGGCAGCTAGCTGTTCAGATGCCTGTGCCTATGGGCTTCCTTGATCCTCGTTTCGGTGACTCGATGCAAGCGATGGTCTCCTCGCACGCGCGTCAGAAATAAACCATTGAAAAGCTCTTGAGGCGCAGATACTTCTGTGAAAGAAATTCTACCACCCTGCTCGATCTAAACTGTATTCACAAGCTTAAATTGAACTGAAGATGCCAAAGGATTACATCAACGTGCAACTTTAAATGCTGATGCTCTTCACTGGGCACTTTTCGTTTGATCAGGAAATTGTTCCGAAAATACTGCGGACGACTTCCATGTTCCACAAGAAGGTTCAACGTTGTGTTTATGGTCGTCTGCCTGTCTGCAAATCAGACACCTGGAGTTGCCTTCTGCTTGGGGCTTTGTCATTCGCCTGACTTGGCCCTATCGGGTTAGCGTGTGTCGTACCGCCTTCATTCTTAAGAACGGGAGCTCCGCACTCGAACTTCTTTACCTTTAGTTGATCCCCTTCCACACAATTTCAACTTTCATGTCCCCCCAAACCCTTTCACTATGCAACTTTGAATCGTCTTTATTCCTCCATGTCAGGTACTTGCATCGTCTGCCTTGGAGATTTGGGAGATGGACCTACCGACTCTCAGGGTCATAATACGCCGTCTGCCAAGTCTCCAATACGGGAGGGCGACGCCGAGTCAGTCACAACCGCTTCCCTCAACCCTGAAAGTGCAAATCGAAATGAGAACAATACAGAGCTGATCGCCCACCTGAAACCATGCGGTCACAACCTCCACAACGACTGTCTGACCCCTTGGGTCGAGAGAGCCAACAGTTGCCCCATCTGTCGTGCTCGATTCTACACGGTAGAACTTTCGACAAAGGTTGGAGGTAAGAACCAGTCACTCTTCTCGCAGGCGTGAGTAATACTGATCTGAACGCTCCAGGCGAAGTTATCCGCACGTACGACGTCCAGGATCGATCGCAAGTCGCGGATTTCGACCCGTCCATGTTCCTCGAAGAGATCGACGACAATAACGATACGGAGCCATGCCAAGTCTGCGAGGAAGATGATAACGAAGATGTCTTGATGTATTGCGATCAGTGCAATAGACTCTTTCATTCTTATTGTGTCGGTCTCCAAGAAATTCCAGTGGGTCACTGGTTCTGCGATGACTGTCGAGCGCAGCGGGACGTTAATACCCGGCACCCTTGCCCACCTCGCGGCACTCGCAGCCAATCTGGACCATTCCGCCGGAGGACAAGAGGTCAGCAGCGGAGGTTTAGGAGCCAGAACCAAGCCACAGATGCCAGCTGGACGCGAGTCTGGCAGTCTGTTTGGGACCGCCTCAATCTTGATCTCGACTTCCCTGACGATGAAGAGGCAGCAGCTACAGCCATACGTCGTCATCGCCAACACAACGATATCAATCGCAGAGAACATGAGGCCTGGCAGGTACGAAGACGAATTGCTGAAATGCAAGGGGGCGGCGACAGTCGCTTCCGAGATACTGAGGCAAGCCTCCTGGATCATCAGCATACCTCGGCATTCCAGACAGCCCGAAACCACACGTCACGTACTAGGCACCATCCCGGAACTCCAGAACAAGAGACGACAGAAGATCAATTAGCATGGGAAGCCTTCGACCAGGCACGCCAAGAGGAGATTGACCCAGAGCAGTCGTCCAACCCAAATCGTCGAAAGAGAAAATCTGCTACTGCCTCGCCGGCTGAACTACAGACCGACGATTATGAAAGAGTCAATAAGAGATCAAGAACAAGCCGAATGCATGACGCTGAAAATGCGTCTGGTTCTGCTGCCTCCTCACGCCTGAGACGGCCTGTTCCTCGAAGAGTTTCGCCTTTAACGAGTCCTCTCGTTGCGGAAAACAATACACCCGGACCGAGTTTCCTTCAATCTCTATTGAAAGAAGTAGAAGATTCATCGGCGCCGAACAATCCTCGTGGTGGCTTCTATCGGCAATCACCTTTGAATGCACCAAGCCCAATCACTATAAGCGAGCACCAGTCTCCTCGGCCATCTTCTCCAGCATTGTCGCCGTCTCCTTCAAACCACTCTTCTCCACGCGCCATGTCCGCTACACCGCCGCCTACATATTCTCGGTCGAATTCACCGACAGGACTCTCTTCGAGCATCCAACCCATTTTCTCTTCCAGCGATTTCTACCCCTCACGATCATCACCTGACCCTCCAAGCGTTCTTACCAACGGGCGCACTTCAAGAATTCCTGCTGGAGGAGGATGGCTAGCACAGCCGACCCGTCATCCATCACCACCACTAAGTCGACCCCGCTCGAGCGAGTCATCCCCCACCCGCCCGTGCTTATCATTCAATGCAAAATCCGACGTGCAAAAGATGGTCTCGTCTGCCTTGAAACCATATTATCACAAGAAGACCATAAGCAAGGACCAATACACGACAATCAACCGAGACATCTCACGCAAGCTGTACGACCAAATAGGTGATTTTGAGGCGCTGGGTATTGAGGGAAGAGCCAAGTGGGAAAAGGTCGCCGGGGATGAGGTTGGCAAGGCTATAGCTACGCTCCAGGACTCTTCAGGCGTGAATCAGATTTCGGGTGTGGAAATATTGAAGGTCGCATCTTGAAGTTTCGTTGACTGTTGGAAGGATGCATGATGAAGTTATGACAGCGAAGGCGTCCGTGTAGATGGCTATGCCATGGTGGTTAAGTCTAAGATTCATCCGGCGTCAACAAGGTGGGTGCGAGGATATACCCCTGGGTGGCATGTGGCGATGTCTATGGTACCACGGTCATTTTGCTTTTCCATGAGCATAGCTCAGCGTGAAGCGCCCTACTCAGTCATATGGCGCTGAGCCTTTCAGCACTATCCAAAATCAACCTGTTTTTGTGTCAGCCCTTTTGGGGTGCCAGTGAATTCAAAATGAGTTCTGGAAACTTGACTGGTGGAGTTATCGACTCCGACTCAGAGTAGGCGATCATTCTTGAACACATTTTCTCTATAGCCTTTCCGTATCCTCGATTCATGGAATCTACCCAAGTGTGCCGTGATATGGACACTGTCACCACCCATTGTGGCATCATACTCACCAAATATGTTGCTACCAACGACAAGCAGGATTCAGTAGACGCAGCGACGGCTGAATCGAGCAGCAGAGGGTTCTGATCAAATTTATAAACGGCTTCAACTAGCCGATTAGAAAACAATCCCACACTTGCATCGGGTATCCATCCATCCAGCCATTGGCGCTAACGTGACAGATGCTTTCGCATTACTCTGTATTTCCGTAAAACATTTCGTTATCCCGAGTCGCGGGTACGTGATTGCTTTGATCATAAGCTACACCCAATTGGAAATGGGATGAAATGGAGGAGGTATCTCAGCTGCTCCAGCCATCACATCTTGAAAAGTGGCTGGAGCCAGGATGCCGTTCCAGCCCAACACGCAGGCAGGCCGTGCACAGCTCGCTTTCTTGGTTGGTCAGCGGCTGGTCGAAGCTTAGCTCTGCTGTAAGTAACTAAGTCCCCCACCCGGCTAATGAGACACCCCTGGTAATGAGACAC